CCCATAGTGTGCCTGGTATAGTCCCATAGTGTGCCTGGTATAGTCCCATAGTGTGCCTGGTATAGTCCCATAGTGTGCCTGGTATAGTCCCATAGTGTGCCTGGTATAGTCCCATAGTGTGCCTGGTATAGCCCCATGGTGTGCCTGGTATAGTCCCATGGTGTGCCTGGTATAGTCCCATAGTGTGCCTGGTATAGTCCCATGGTGTGCCTGTTATAGTCCCATAGTGTGCCTGGTATAGTCCCATGGTGTGCCTGGGAGTATAGTTCCGGATAAGGCGCCCCCCCACCCCCACAAACACAAAATCACAGACTTGAATTTTTTTCAGTGTTCAATTTTATCAACTTATTTTGTAACATTTGTAACATAGGTTGACTCGATTATCGAAGTTAAGTTTTGTAACATTTGTTACGTAAGTTGAATCTATCATCTAAGTTAAGTTTTGTAACATTTGTTACATAAGTTGAATCTATCATCTATGTTAAGCTTTGTAACATTTGTTACATAAGTTGAATCTATCATCTATGTTAAGTTTTGTAACATTTGTTACATAAGTTGAATCTATCATCTAAGTTCAGTTACCGCCATCTTGTCATCCTCCTAATTGCCACAACAACAACAACAAAAACTGCTCAAATTTCAACTTTATAAAAATGTTTTGTCACGTGATGCAATTTGTCACGTGATTTAATGTGTTTGTCACGTGATGTATGTTTGTCACGGGCTGCAGTTTGCTTGTCACGTGATCTTATATTATGTTTGTCACGTGTTACACTGTGCGTGTCACGTGGCCCATGCGTATTAATCTTCAATTATCTTGTACATATCAGCAATGAAACAGATTTCGTTATTATTATTGTATTTACCTGTACACACTGTACCGAATCATTGATGTATTTTCTTGTACAGTTTGTACCGAATCGATGACGTCAGATTATTGAAATATATTTTTTGTATCGTTTGTACACATGAGAATGTAAAAAATATATATAAAATTTAATAATTTTAAAAAGTTTTCAATAAATCCACATGAAATGAATGTGTTACCTAAGACGCCATTCAATGTGTTATCTATGACGTCATTCATGTTGTGTTATCCATGACGTCATTCATGCCCATCTTCTAAAAAATTCAAACGATGCGCTAAGCATGGCTACTGGGACTACTGACACCATCCCCGAATCGGGTCTGAGATCCACGGAATGAAAACTTGGGGCACTTTAAATACAGCCAGGGAACCGTTGGGCTGCCTCTCAGAGGCGTAAATTAATAATGTGACAGATGTCAAGGGGCTGGAAAGTTGTCAGAAAGCAAATGAGCCGACGGTTCTCGTTGTTGATTACGTGACGAAACGAAAAAAATGGCGGGCAAGACAATAACGTGACGTATGACGTTGGTGACGTCTGCTCCGAAAACAGCTGAATGGTTTTCTGGTGTAGATTGTACGTGGAATGTCATTATAAAGTACTTTGATTAACTTAAGATTAGACGAGTAATTACGACCGAACATGGATCATTATCCATTAAATGGAGTTGCTGGATAACATTATTATAAATTGGTAGCTCCATTTGGATTGGTAGACGCATTTACGATTGTAGCCTGATTTGGACTGGTAACCTTATTTGAACTTGGTAGCCGCATTGGCACCGGTAACCTCATTGGCACCTGGTAGCCTCATTGGCACTGGTAGCCTTATTGGCAATGGTAGCCTCATTGGCAGAGGTAGCCTCATTAGGACTTGTTAGCGTCATTAGCACTGGTAGCCTCATTGGCAATGGTAGCCTCATTGGCAATGGTAGCCTCTTTGGCACTGGTAGCCATATTGGCACTGGTAGCATCATTGACATTTTCAATTTTCGTCAGGAGAAAAAAAATGTATATTTCCACAGTACCAGCATATGGAGATAACTGCTTCCCAGGTGCAGGTAAATCTGTACCAGGTGGAGGTAACTCTGTACCAGGAGGAGGTAACTCTGTACCAGGTGGAGGTAACTCTGTACCAGGTGGAGGTAACTCTGCACCAGGTGGAGGTAACTCTGTACCAGGTGAAGGGAACTCTGTACCAGGTGGAGGTAACTCTTTCCCACCAGGTGGAGGTAACTCTGTACCAGGTGGAGGTAACTCTGTACCAGGTGGAGGTAACTCTGTCCCACCAGGTGGAGGTAACTCTGTACCAGGTGGAAACAACTCTAAATTAGAGCCTCTAATAATTCTCCACTGGTTAGTCTATTATTCTCTTTTCCTACCTACACCACCCGACCTGTCCATGAGACCTACCCTGTCTAACACAACACACCCCATCTAACAGCACCTAGCCCTGTATAACTAGCACCCACCTCTGCCCCCCTCCCCACCCCCCCCTCAACCAGCGCAGTATATTTAGCCTGCATCGAGTGACCGCTCTCCTTTAGCCACTGACAAATGGCAGCCTGTCCCCAAATGTCATTAGTTGGCCTGACATTCGTTTGGACTGACACAGCGCGAGCCCCCGAATGTCCTGAAGAAGTCATTTGTCTGGGGGGAAACCCCAGGACCGTTCCTTTGATGTCCCCTGACAAGAGATGAGACCAGGAACGAGTGAGACCTTCTACATGATATGGCCTGGACAAGATTCATTGGCCCTTTAGTTGGGTGGTGTTAAGTTTGGTCCGGTGTTCTAATGTAACGTCAGAGACATGGCGACTTGTACAATACGAGTTGAAGTTTTTCTCTCACGTCATTTAAGAGAATGTGAGCCGGGGGCATGAATAGCACGCATAACAGCTACAGTAGTACACATCACAGCTTCAGTAGTACACATCACAGCTACAATAGTACACATCACAGCTACAGTAGTACACATCACAGCTACAGTAGTACACATAACTGCTACACTAGTACACATCCAAGCGATTTATCGAAAGCCCATATTGTTTTACCGAAGACCCTGTCCAAAGTCTTACTTACCTGTCTAACCTCACCCACCTCTAACACGAACCACCCCTGTCTAACACGACACACCCCTGTCTAACACGACACACCCCTGTCTAACACGACACACCCCTGTCTAACACGACACACCCTGTCTAACACGACACACCCCTGTCTAACACGACACACCCCTGTCTAACGCGACACACCCCTGTCTAATACGACATACCCCTGTCTAACACGACACACCCCTGTCTAACGCGACACACCCCTGTCTAGCACACCCCTTTTGTCTAACAGCACCCCCTGTCTTCTTCCTCTACTCCACACCCCCACCTCTTGTATCTCCTTGTGCACCCCATCAACCGCTGTCTTACACCCCTGCCCCTTGTCTACCCCACCCCCCACCCCACCCCATGTCTCCACCGCGACTCCCTGCTGTTTCCTACATCTCACACGTTTGTCGTTTGTGTTGTACAAACACGGCTCCGGTCATATTTTCTCAATGTAAACTAAAAAAGCAGGATCTGACTATCAAAGTGGGCCCCGAGGACACGGCGAGTGGGACACGTTGATTTGTGTTGTGTTGCCCGTTGTCAAACAATGTCATTTAATCCCACAGTGTGTTCAACTAATCCTTACCAATGATCGGAGGAACAATCACATCAATTACATTTACAGCACAGAATTTACAAAGTAACAATTATGACCTTAGCAAACCTTTGCTGTTAGGACCTTTGTAGCTACTAGGACCTGTAGTTATGTCCTTGTAGTTAGGACCTTGTGGTTAGGACCTTGTAGTTAGGATCTTGCAGTTCTAGATTCCAAAGGTAAAAGGTAGGAGAGGAGACGACCAGAAATTTTAAGCAGGAGAAATTCCGTGACCTTTGCAAGCTTGACCCCTGTCGTGACGTGTAACGTCGCGCTGTAATCACTGGGACTGGACCTAGGTCACTGTCAGATGACCAACGCTGCCCGCCATTTATTCGAACTGCCACCTGTCCGTACGCGCAGGTCGACCTTTACGCGCGTGGCGCGTGACATCTCGAGAATGCGTTTCTTGTTATGAGTGACATTGCACTGAGTGACCTCTACAGATGACGCAACAGACATGGAGGGAGGCACATGTAAGGTGCAAGGTCAACCTTCCATAACACTCAGACTGAGTTGAGAGGTGGAGGTCGAGGCAAGGTCTACCTTCCATAACACTCAGACTGAGTTGAGCAGAGGTGGAGGTCGAGGCAAGGTCAACCTTCCATAACGCTCAGACTGAGTTGAGAAGAGGTGGAGGTCGAGGCAAGGTCAGCCTTACATAACACGCAGACTGAGTTGAGCAGAGGTGGAGATAGAAAGAGAAATCACTTGGGTTGGAAATCTGGACGGAGAAATAATTAACCACTAAAGAGCCATCATATTTTTTATCCGAACGCGTTGCGTACTACGTCACCATGACGTCACCCAAAGTTTTGAAATTACACGACGCAATGGACGCCTTGAAATTGGAAATCCCCCCCCCCCCCCCCCCCACCCACACCCCCCCCCCCCCCCCCCCCCCCCCCCCCCCACCCCCCCCACCCAGCCCCAGCCCCCCCCCCCCGCTCCAGCCCCCCCTACACCCCCACCCCGAGTGTGTGGCAGTTGTTCACTGTCTGTACAGCAAGCGTCGGTTGTTGTTTTTTTTATGTGGCCTACCCTGCCACATGTGGCTGATACATACGATGATTTGTACATTTCTTAATTTAGAACAGGTCAGCCGTCAGTGGAGCGCCTGGGCGATCGTGCAATAATTAGTCTAGCTACCTTGACGATTCATGTTCTGTAACAGTTGTACATATTTTGATTGATTCATGTCCTGTAACAGTTGTACACATTTTGATTGATTCATGTCCTGTAACAATTGTACACATTTTGATGGATTCATGTTGTGTAACAGTTGTACACATTTGGATGGACGCATACCGTTCATGTTGTACAGATAATTTATTTTTGAAATTATGTGGACAGACTTTTGTCTGCCTGTCGTGTGGCTGTTTTCGTAATGCATATGTCATGTCATTAGGTGTCATTAGATGTCAATAGAATGACAGATGTGTCCTTCAAACGTCTTTAGCCAATCTTGTTAAAATGGAAAAAAATAAAATGCCCCCCTTCCCTTCAATGAGCCCCAACACCCTTCCACTGACCTGTGTCATGTGTTGACATTGTTGCTATATGGTGTCATGTGTTAAAATTATGGTCATGTGTTGACATTGTTGCTATATGTTGTCATGTGTTAAAATTATGGTCATGTGTTGACATTTGTGTCGTGTGCTGACATTGCTATCATGTGATGGCATTGTTATCAAGTGTTGTCATGTGTTACCATTGGTGTCATGTGGTGTCATGTGTTGTCACTGGTGTCATGTGTTGCCACTGGTGTCATGTGTTGCGACTGGTGTCATGTGTTGCCACTGGTGTCGTGTGTTGCCACTGGTGTCATGTGTTGTCACTGGTGTTATGTGTTGTCACTGTTGTCATGTGTTGTCACTGGTGTCATGTGTTGACATTTGTGTCATGTGTTGGCATTGTTGTCCTATGAGAGTAGAAAGATATCATTGTATAATAACTACATGAATTCATTTCCTTGCAGTCTACATGACATTGATGAGACAGCCATCTTTGAGCTATTACCTTGGAAACCTTGCACTGATATGTTTGTAACAAGATACATTAGACATATCAAACCATATCGTATTTCTGGTGGCACATTTGATATGTTTTGTGATTTTAAAGCTGTCATAATTTCATATTTTTATATTTAATGCTATTGATTTGTAATAAACCATTTATTGATGCATAAATAAATCTAATTTCATTTATGAAATTTATAAATTTACCCAAGTTCTGATTGAACTATAAAGCGTATGTTTATAAATATAATATATTAAATCCTTGATGAAATGATTACATACATTATGATATAAATATATAATATATGTTGATATATTACTGAATGGAGATGAATCTAATATTTATCTAAAAATTTGCATTGCTAAAAAAATCTAAAGGTTTGCATGGCGAAAGATGTGGAGATGAAGAGTTTGAATGGCCTATTTGTGACATGTACACCCCACGTCATCAGACTTATGACTTGATGTGTACGTCACATGGACACGTCACTTGTACACGCCACTAAGTTTGCCATTGAAACAGCTTCGGACGATTAATAAAGTTTCAAAAAAAAATCACCTTTTTCTGTTACTTTATTTGTAAATGTTTAGTTTCTCACAGGAGAAGACATGAAGTGATTATCATAGAGGACAACAGGAAGTGATTCACCGTGGTGGAAAACAGGAAGTGACGTTCAAGGAAAAAATATGTGTGATATTAGTAGGGGACAACAGGAAGTGATTATCATAGAGGACAACATGAAGTGATTCACCGTGGTGGAAAACAGGAAGTGACGTTCAAAGAAAAAATATGTCTGATATTAGTAGGGGACAACAGGAAGGGATCTTCAGGGAAAAAATATAAATGATATTAGTATAGGGGACAACAGGAAGGGATCTTCAGGGAAAAAATATAAATGATATTAGTATAGGGGACAACAGGAAGGGATCTTCAGGGAAAAAATATAAGTGATATTAGTAGGGGACAGCAGGAAGGGATCTTCAGGGAAAAAAATATAAGTGATATAAGTAGGGGACAACAGGAAGGGATCATCAGGGAAAAAATATAAATGATATTAGTAGGGGACAACAGGAAGGGATCTTTTTTGGGGTCAATACGGCGAAGTGAGCTTTATAATTGACAACACGAAATGATATGATTGGAGACAACGAAATATTAACATTGGGTACACAGCTGATTGCGGGGTACAGTGTTCGTGGGATGAGAATCTTCAAAACCTCAACGGTTTTCACTAGATGTGTCAATACCAATCAGCAACTTGCAGCAGACGTTACTCTTTGTCACTATACAGCTCTCATAACACACACACACACACGTTTCAGCTGTCACAAAACTTTAAAAAAAAGTCAGTTGTCACAATCTGTTGAAAGTCTGACTTGTGGTATTCAATATAAGTTTCAGTTGTCACAACACATGCACGTTTTAGTTGTCACAAAGCACCCCAAATTTCAGTTGTCAAAACAACACACACACAATTTAATTTTAAAACGCACACGTTTAAGTTGTCACAACATACTCAAGTGCCCCATACTCTGTCTAGTAAATGACCAAGTCCATGATTAGTGCCCCATACTCTGTCTAGTAAATGACCAAGTCCATGATTAGTGCCCCATACTCTGTCTAGTAAATGACCAAGTCCATGATTAGTGCCCCATACTCTGTCTAGTAAATGACCAAGTCCATGATTAGTGCCCCATACTCTGTCTAGTAAATGACCAAGTCCATGATTAGTGCCCCATACTCTGTCTAGTAAATGACCAA